TCAAGATTAACACAGGAGAATTTATAATTAAATTGGTTATACAGACTCTGAAGACCCAATTTTGCAACTACAACACACACACACACACACCATGTTCAATTGCTAAAAGCTTGCTCTTTCCAGGAATGATTCCTATTATGTGGAATTTTCCCCTGATCACTGATGGCCAGGTGCAATTAAAATAGCTAGAGACTAGAGGTCAGTGACTAAAGCAAGGCTGAAGAAGAATTAATGCACTTAAATTATGATGTTGCTGGAAAATATTGGCAGTCCTATGGACTGCCAGAAGAAAAAGCAAATCCATCTTGGAAGAATTACTGACAAAATGCTCCCTGGAAGCAAATTTGGAGAGACTTCATCCCATAAACTTGGTACAAGTTGTCAGTCCCTTGAGAAAAACATCAGGTTTGGTAGCCCGTGGGTGGAAAAGAGATAGATTGGCACGATGGTCACAGCAATGGGCTCAAATCGAGGGACAAGTGCAAACACGGCCATGGCCAGTGTCAGTGTTGTGTTCTGTGTACAGGGGTCACCATGAGTCACCACCAACCCATCAACACCTAAGAATGATAGGGAATGAAGTGAAGGGCTGGTGAAAGGAATGCTCCTGAGGCAAGACAGAAAGGAAACAATCAGAAGGCAATGATGGACCTTACTTAGTGATAGATGATTTGAAGATAGGAAGGATCTAATGAGTACCTGATCTCCACTATCCTTCTTGACACCCTGGAAAGTTGAAAATACAATAGGAGAAATGAGTAAACAAATATAGAGGATAATTAAATACCCAGGTGTCACCATTAAGAATAGGACAAGGTTTTTTTTCTGATCCAAATCTATATTCTCAGTACAACACCACAAACTTTCTATCCTTGTTCTGAAGAATGGGTTTGCAAAAGAGCCTACAACTGAAGCTATTACAGGTCTCCAAGACCCATCGTGGGGCCCAGCTGTTGCCTTTCTTCCTGAATAAGCATGGTGCACCCTACCTCCTGAACTCTCCAGGGAACTCGCCAAATCTCAGTGGTTCGCTGGTGTCATTCTGTGTTTCTAGTTTCACATTCCATGTGGGCACAGGACCCTGCACTGCTTTGTGAAAAGAAGACCCTGTAGCCTGCTCAACCCACACCCTTGTGCGAATTGTTCCAATCAAAGGAGCGACCAGCAGGCCAGCCCACCTCTCCACGCACAGTTGCCATAAGCAGGGTACCGTTCAAGCAGCATTCTTTGAACTTACTTCCTGTTGCTCAGTGGGCACCCATCTCCCCGATCCCGCCTCATTAGCAGGCAATAAAGTGGAGCACCACATATCTGCTTGGGTGTCTGTGCAATTTACTAATAAATGTCTGCCCCTTGCAATGGACTTCCCCTCCAATCCTGATAATCAAACAAAGAAGGCTCATATTTCCTACTTGAAAAAGTGGTGTGTGTGTGTGTGTGTGTGTGTGTGTGTGTGTGTGTGTGTGTGCAACATTTCATCCTCATTGTCAAAACTGTCAAGAACTGCACAGTCTGATTCCTTACCGTACTGGGAAGCTCACACGTTAGCATGCCACTGTTTTATGGAAGCTAACAAAAAGGACTTTCGGATTCGCAGCAGCAGTAGCCAGTGTCAGCCTCTGTGCTGGCTCCCCGAATTCCTATTCTACCTTCCACCCCCGTTCTACCCTCCACCCCCGCCCCCCATCCTCAAAAAAACCCCCAAAGCAAACTCAGGACCATCGAGTAGATTGAGACTCATAGCCACCCCCGGAGGACACGATAAACCTTCCCCTTTGAGCTTCTGAGTGTCCTTACAGGAGCAGAAAGGCCCCTCTTTCAAACTGGTAACTCATGGTTAGCAGCCCAACACCGTAACCATTAGGCCGTGGGAGCTTCTCATTCTCTCAGGTTGTGCAAAATGTGTCTAATATAAGGTGACCAGATTTAAAGTGGGACACCATTGAACGAGGGGGGGGGAGGGGTGTTCTTGATTTAAAAATTGGTCTATATGGACCAAATAGACCATTCCCTAGCTTGTCGTGCATTCTTTCCAAAAATTGGGACTTTTTTAAAACGCAAAAAACCGGGACGATCCTGCTAAAAGCGGGACGTCTGGTCACCTCAGTCTAGTAACCCCTGCACAAACAACGGGGCTGTGTTTCTGGAGTGGAAGTTTGTGCAAGAGAATCTGAATCTTTCACACGGACTAGTCTGCTGGCTCTTTGACACGGTGGGGAAATTACTCCCCAAGGCTGTAGGCAAAGAGTGCTTCGCTGCAGGACACATTATATCTTATCCGGCTCTTTGCTATGCAAACATCCGTGTAAAGCAAGGCTGGACCCAAATGACGCCGTGTCTCTGCTTGCAGAGATGTACAAATACGGAAGACCCGCAGAGAGCCGACAGGGTCAGAACACATGTTCTTGAGTTCAATGAGTGATTATGAGAGAAGGGTCGTGATCACAGAGGACCCTCAGACGTCTGTCTTACCCAACTGGGTGACAAAGCTACCTCACCGCTTCGAGTAGATTCCAGCTCATCGCCAGAGGACAGTGTTTGATTTGGGTTTCTGCGAGTGTTTCCACTTCCTCTCCCAGGTGACTCGTTACCAGCTCCATGAGTGGCCCACAGCTCCGCGCAGCTTTGCCATTGACTCCCATTTACACACATGGGGGGAAGGGATGAGGTTTTATTTACGTACTAATTCTGAAATTCCCATTATACACCCAAAAGAATCTGTCACAGCAATGATTGAATATGTAAGTCTGGAAGCCCATAAAATAAAGTCAGAGTTCATAATTAATATCTAGACGTTATCAATACAAACCAAAATATTATGCTGCTTGAGTCAATTCCAACTCGTAGCAACCCTGTGGGACAGAATAGAACTGCTCCCTAGGGATCCCAGAGCAGAGAGCCTCCTTTTTCTCCCATGTAGCAGGTGGCAGGTTCCAACAACTGACCTTGAGAGTGGCAGTCCAATGTGTAATCCCCTGTGCCACCAGAGCTCCTTTGACATTATCACCTTAAACTGAAAAACCCAATGTACTGCCATTGAGTCGATACCCGACATGTGACCACTACCCCAAAGCCATGGAATGCAATGACATAGTGGATTGAGAGGATCTAAAGTTGAAGTCTGAGATACCTCAGCACGAGTGGTTTACTCCAGGTAAAAGATTACAAGCATTAGAAACGTCCATTCCATTTTGTTTTGTTGCTGTTTTTTTAATGGAAAGCCTATTTAAGCTAAAATTCAGCCCATGGGTTTACTCTAATGTTGAAAGCATAATCCAGCTCTCCCATTCTAAAGCTAGTGTCTCCCCTTCACTACTCCAAAGTGCCCTCCTCACCTGGAGCTGATGAATGAGATGCTCTGTTCCTTTCAGTCAGCCAGAGCCCCTCTGCTATTGGTTCCTGTTGGTTGATTTATCAGAGAAAAGGCTATTATCTAGGATATAAAACCTTGGTACACGATAACAAACTCACCACCATTGAGTCAATTCTGGCTCATGGCAATTCTAAAGGACAGAGTAGATATACCCTCTCTCCCCACCACCCAGGTCAGTTTTCCAAGATTGTAAAAGCATGTTGGTGTACCAAACCTTTTTCCTGTGGAGTGGCTGACAATTGTTCAACCAGCAGTGGAGTACTGAACCACCACACATACACACACACACACACACACACACACACACACACACACACACACAAGACCCCCGAACTCACCGCTCTGAGTTCATTCAGTCCAGCTTTCCTTGATTCAAAAGGAAGGTCAGAGATTGGAGGGCACTATTTGTTAACAGCATTGTCTGGAAAGAAATTGAAAGGGAAATCTGCAATCACTCTAGAATTCCAAGGGGTCTCGAGGAAGACTATGGAACATTTTTACAAAACTGACAGAAGAAACAATTTCCATTTTCATTATCCAAAGTGATAAAATATGTCGTATCTAATCTGGGAACTGAAACCAGGACAATAACGATCTCAGAGAAGATGGCAAATTACGGCAAGTGACTTAGAAGAAGTTCCTAGTTCAAGGCCCAGTTTCCAGAAGAGTGAAAAGGGGGAGGGGAAACTTCCTAGTCGTGAATGGGTTTGTAGGCACCAGTTGTTGTTAGATGCCGAGGTGCCAACCCATAGCAACCCTATGCACAGCAGAAGGAAACGCAGCATGGGATGGTCCTGCGTCATCCTCCCAACGGTTCCTACGCTCGATCCCATTGTTACAGCCTCTGTGTCAGCCTATCTCCGTGAGGGCCTTACTCTTTTACACTGCCCCTCCATTGACCAAGTAGAACATCCTTCTCAGGGCACTGGTGTCTCATGACAATATGTCCAAAGATGAAGTTTTTCCATCCTTGCCTCTAAGGAGCCCTCGGGCCGTACCAATGCAAAGAGAGGTTGGCTGTCCTGTTAGCAGTGCACGGTACTTTCATGGGTACCTGCAGCACAAGAACATTGAGCAAAAGTATCTGATGACCCAAACTTCCAGAGATATGCCAATAAAAAAGGAAAAGAGAAGGTGCCTCTGAAGAAAGTTGGTAGGGTCCCCCCCAATTTAAGTAAATGGGTAACTGATAGGCAGAGCACCAGCAAGAAGAGGGGATGGGAACATATCAGAGGCCAAGTTCATTGACTGCAAACAGCAGCAAGCGTGCCATTCCATCACCGAGTTTTAAAGCATTGCTACTTAGTTTCTGACACTAGTGGTAATGCAGAAATGTCTCTATAAACATATAAATAAAAAAATAAAATAAGAAAAGCCGCATGACACCTTGGCAAGCACTCAGGAAAACCACACACAAATAGCGCTTGCTTTTAGTCCTAAGCAATGTTTCCACGAATGCCCCAAACCCAAAAAACTCCACTGTTTTTGCTGCATCAGCTTGGCTGTCATAAAGAGAGTGCTACGGATTATTCAGTTTTTCAGGGCTGGCATTGGTCCAATGTTCTTTTCAGTTCGACACCTTCTTGAATGTACACCTTCCTGAACATTAAGCAACCTTTTCTTGCAGGTGCAGACGACAACCATGTGCATATCCGTGAGCCTGAGTGGCTTCGTGGTTCTGGGCTGTTTGTTTGCACCCAAGGTGCATATCATCCTGTTCCAACCCCAGAAAAATGTGGTCACACACAGGCTGCACCTCAACAGGTTCAGTGTCAGTGGAACTGGGACTCCGTATTCTCAGTGTAAGTATGGGACTCATCGCTGGACCCTCGGGAAATAGGATTGTCATGGGGACCAGGCTGGGAGATGACACAAACAAACAGTGCATTTTGAAGCTTGATTGAAATTGAATCAATCGTGGTTCAACTGTGTGCCAGATACTGTGCTAGGGGCCGGGGACACAATGGTGAGCAGAAGAGTCCATTTCTGTTTTGGGGGTTCACATGGGAAAGAAAGACATTGAGTCCACACCTGCATGCAGTTGGGATTTTCAGCCATGCGAAATCAGAAAACCAGGTCGCTGCTCAGTTCAGTAGGTAACTGGAGCAAGTCGCTTTATTGCTCTCTGTTTCCATTACTCGTCACACCCGAGGACTGGACTAGATTGGTGTTCTGCAGTGTTTGTTCAACATTATGCAGGTGCTGAGAGTGTTTCTTGAACATTTAAAGGGGGAAGATAACTAAATGAGATGGAAAACACTATATCCTAAATATTCCCTTGGAGACCAGTAACGCCATTAGCATGCTAAAGGTTCTGAGAACCGCTGTAATTAAGAAAACAAAGAAACAAGTGTTTAACTTTGTTATTCATAGAATTTCTTAAACAGGCTTGACCCCAGTCCCACCAGGAACACCCGATAGAACACACCTCAGATTGCTTGGTTGTTCCAGCCAAGACCCAGTGGAGAGTCGCTGCCGTCAGCCCAGGGTGCCGGCATCATACCTCACACACGTCTGACACCGTTTCCTTAGAGATTCCTTGATTTAATTATTTAGAGTCCTCTAAAACACAAATCTTCCTAGAGGGAGCACCCTTTTGAGCCATTTTCAACTTGTCTCTTGTATGGAATAGGAGAAATTAACTGATCAAAGGATAGAGGGGAAGGTTGGTGCGAGGACTCACAAGATGGGGAAGGGTGCTTGGAACTGACAGACAAATGGCTTTTTATGTTTTTGCCTCCAGTCAGCTAGGAAGACCACTTCCCAATCACTCAGCATCCCCAGGTGAGCAATCACATGAGTACCCCAATTTCTCCAACAGCGTAAAAAATGTTCCTGGCAGCCCTCCCCTCCCCCAGAAAACTGTGAAGACTGGCAGGCTAGGAGTGAGGGCACCAAGATGCGCTGTATACACACAGAAGCACAGGCCACTCGAAAGGGTTTACTGTAACCGGGAGGGCTCCTTCCAAGGGCAGGGGACATTCAGACACCACGAAATCCTAAACTCACACTGGGCCCCACACACAAAAGCAAACAACCTTTGCATTTGGATGAGAAAGAAAGAGGTCATTTCTCTCTTTTGTTCAGCTTTAGAAACAAAGAGGCTTTCCCGAGCTGATTCCCAAGTCCAGGCAAGCAAGAACGTATGCTGGGAATGTAAGTGAAACTGTGTAATTTTGAAGCTCGATGTATACAGGAGGTTACTTAGCATAAAACGAGAAAGGATTCATGCAGGTCGGTATGTCGTTGCCACTAAGATGGTTTTATAACAGCATAGACTTGAAATGTGCCCGGTGGTATCCGGAGATGTTCTAAACTTGGTCTTGGGGAAAACGTGTGTTTCTCTTGCTCATGGGGATCATTCAGATTAGATGGATGCCATTATCATTAGGATCAGCCAGGAGGCTTCTATGAACTAATGATGCCAGGATTTGGGTCCCGGAGGAACTGTAGGCACAAGGAAATTGATTCGCTCTGCCAAAATCTTCTTCAGAAAGTCAATTGTCTAGGTAACTGCTCAGTTGACAGAATTAATCTTTATTACAACGTATTTTTATGATGTAAAAAAGAAGCTGTGGTGTAAACAATCAAGCAGTCCGTCTCCCAGCATCACAGAAAGCATGTTTTTGGTTTTTTCCCATGGAGCCAAAGCCACAGAGAGCAAGGACAGCTGACCAGGCTCTGCAGTGACCAGTGGCCGAGCCGTTAAAGAGGCCCAGTGAGCAGGAGCCAGCCCCTCCTGAAATCTGATGATGACTTTAGAAATGGATAAAATGAGGTCACGTGCCCATGTTTCTGCTCGACGCCACAAGTCCAGGAAAAAAGCATAAGATGCCTACACTGCACATTCAGGGAGTCCCATAATGACACTCTGTACTCGTCGGGCCAGGAAAATTAGCAAGTTATTTGGCACCACCGACTGAATTGACCGTCTTCCACTCCACAGGCATGAGTATATTATCAACATAAATCTGCCTTGGACAGTGTGGGAGGCGTCTGGAGTAATCAGCAAGTTAGGCCACTGCTCCAGGAAAAATACTTCCAGCATATCCAAATCAGATAGACGTCCATCCAGTTTCCCTTAGGTATGGAAGTCTACAGCACTCCTAAGAACCTCAGCCCCTTTTCTTTCATTTTCTCCCTCACCGAGGATTGGCGAAGACATCATCTCCAGCCGTTAAACGGAGAACCCAACATACCTGAGGAGCCCTGGTGGCGTCGTGGTTAGGAGTTGGGCTGCTCAGCTCAAGGCCAGCAGCTACCAACGACCAGTCTCTCCACAGGAGAAAGATGAGGCTTTCTAATGCCATAAAGCGTTACAGACCAGCAAGCCCACAGGGACAGCTCTCGCCGACCCGACAGGGTCACTATACATAAGAGCTGATTCCATGGCAGTGAGGTTAACATTGTATGAAAGAGCTGGTGTTCGTGATCTTTTTTCTTCTGGGTTAATAGTTCCAGCCTATTTGACCCCCAACTGAGCTTTTCCAACTCTTGCATCATTTCCCCTTGACCTGTCATTTTACCCTGTGGATCGTCCCCCAACCGAAAATAGCTTGCCTTCCCTCACAGCAATGACCACAAAGACGAGCTGGAGGGGCCAATTAGTATAATAACTTCATACGTAGGTGAATAAACTAGGTGCCTAGCTAACATACTTTAAAGACCTTGGTAACTGACATGATAAATACAACGCTAGGAAGCTGCTACAAGGTTCCTCTGGCCTTCCTGGGTTTGTCTTCCGCAGCTCCTGACAGCATTCAGCTCCATGTCCATTCTGACAATGAGAACCTCACGCTGGCTGCTCCTGAATCAATTCTGAGATGTAGAACTGCTGAGATAGTAAATATTTGTAGGAATAGACAGTTCCATCTTTCTCCTGGGGAGATGCTTGAACCACTGACTTTGCAATTAGCAGCCCAACACTTAACATGAGAAACTTAGCATATTACAAGTTCAATGACTTTTTTTGTTTGTCTTAGTTAAATGCTCTCCTTCAGCCGTGCATCTGATGATATCTTGTTTTCTCCGCATGCATACACATTTGTATTCCTCTTAAAGGCCTTATTCCAAGAAGCGCAAAACAAAACGTGTCTGTGGGATACCTCAGTGGTCCCCACCACCAAGCTGCACACTGAGCAATCGTGATCTTCCAGACACATCAATCTTAAGGGTTCTTGGATATGGTGTTTGATGGAGGCAAAGGAAGATTCTTAATGGTGGCTTGCTAACTACCGGTATTTATCTCAAAGGCACATAATTGCTCTACTCTAAACAGTGCTTTAAAAACAAGTATCATTTACTTGAATTAAATTACACTGTATAGCCCCTTATTTACCCAACACTTGAAAATAATGTAAACCCAATAGCCCAGAAAGCGTTTCTGAATGAAAAAGATTCTACGAGATAAACCTAAAGCCATACCCATTTCAATTTATTCAGCATATATATATGAGCGAGAGAGAGAGATGGGTATGATGTAATCCAATACCTAACCCACTGGTAGCAAGTCTTTTCCAGTTCATAACAATCCTATACCAGGTTTCTCCGACTATAATTCTTCACTGGAGCAAGCTTCTGTCAATACTTGAAAACAACACAAGCAAAGAGTCTAAGATCAATTTATTGCATGGTATTTCTCCGTCCCACTTTGTTTTCCTTTAAGTGAAAGTCTCCCCTACATGGGGAGACTGTGCTTTCTGCAGAGAGATCCCTACTCATGAGCAGCAAGTTAAGATGGCTGCCTTACTTGGCACAATTTCAGAGATGTTGGGAGAGAGCTCTTCAGCAAATAAATATGACGAATCCAATGGATACTTAGCTCATTCAGTCAAGAATAATTTAGGCTGACTTAGCTCTAGGCACTGGGGAAGCAATAACGAACAAAGCACACAAACCTTCCGTACATATTGTCAATATCCTAATGGGGAAGGAAAGCACAAAGAAAAGCCAATAATATGCAATACATCAAGTGGCAAAGAGTGACATGGATAAATGGGTCAAATAACAGGGCATAGGCAAATAGAATATTCTGAGGAGAGACTTCTTTCCTAAAAGGTGTTCGGGGAAGGCCTCTTTGATAAGGTGGCATTTGGGGAGCGAGCTGACACAAACGAAGGCAGCGAGTCATGCCAGGATCTCCAGGAAAACATTTGAAGGCGAAGAACAGCGAATGAGAAGGGCCACATTTGGGAGGCTAGCAGAGGCCAGTGTGGCCAGATTGGAAATGAACAAGGATGAAAGTTGGAGAAGACAGGGCCAGAGAGGAAGTAGACCATGGACTGCTTTAGAGGTCATTGTTAAAATCTCATACTCTCCTGATGAGAGAAATGGGACGTCACTAGAAGGGTGTCAGCAGAGGGGTGGCATGAGCTGCCCTTCAAAGCCTCTTTGTGCCTGTGTGGTCAGAAAACAAGAGAGGGGCCCGTGAAAGAGATCAGGTTGGAAACCTTTGTGTTGAGTGGTTGAAGCCGGAGTGACAGCAGAGGAAGTTCGTAGAGTATTAAACAATTTACAGGAAGGAAGCAGAATTCACTCATGAGAGAGGAGGACTGATGCCTGCCATTGTTCGATGACAGCTGAACACTTGGTTTCAGACTTGGATCGCTAGGTCTCGGAGCATGTGCTGCTGCTACTAGTTGTTTGGACTTCAGGGGGAACAAGTTTCTGATCCTGGTCTGGGGACGCATCAGCATAAAGAGAAGAAAAGCCAGAGGTGTCTGGCAATAAAGAGGAGAAGAGAGTATAGTATTCGTGGAATAGTACACAGAATGACTGAGCCCTTTCGTTGACAATTGCCATTATCCATCCACTTTTGTTCTTCCCGAAGGAGGAAAAGGAGAGGGAAAGAGCATCAGAAAGATGACATGAAGTGCTAAAACTGTAGTAAGGCATTTGGTTGGAATTTAACAAGATGCAGTCAAGGACAAAGAACTCTTTCTGCTAAGGTACTCAAGCTGTAAAATGGGCACGTGATGTATCTTTTCTTCTGTTTTCCCGACTCTTGCCTCATAAGAAGGAATCACGGCATGGAGAAATATTTGGCTTTTCCACAGTCCTCCTTCTGGGTGTGCTGTAGTCTGGGCGGCGGGCTGCTAACCACGACATTGATGGCGTGAGCCCACCAGCCACTTGTGTAAAGATTTAGTCTGGGAAACCCTAATTTAGGGTCACTATGAGCTGGAATCGACTCAATAACCATGGATCTAACTCCATATTGGGGAACAAACTCCTGGGCTTACCAACTTCAACCCACAGTAGGATGAATATCATTCCCTCGTAGATCTGCTATGAACAGTTTGAGATCATTACTTGGATCATAAAAGGGAAACATCCCCTGGAGAACTGGTCCATATTTCTGCCGAGCGTGGTTGGAGGTTCTAGCAGGGAAGGCCCGCACTACTCATACACCCTTGACTGACAGGATGGTCCTCTTCAATCACTCAGACAGCCTCCTTTTGAAGGGACGCACATAGAGCAGTGAGGGAGGAAGGGCACACCTGCCTAGCCAGCCAGATCAGGAGGGTGACTGATGTCCAATGCAGATTGCCCTCACCTCCCAGACCCTATTTTTTGATCATGGGCTCTCTCTCTATCGAGGCTACCAAGCCCGTGGGCAGTAAACTCATGATCTACCCTGCTGGCACGTGGTAGTCACTGGATGACCTTCTGAAGTGGAGCAAGAGGCTCTAGCACAAGTGAAATAAGGTAAAGGGTCGTAAAAGGGGTTCTGAAAGACAGGACAGCAACGAGCCAGCGGAAACTGGACTCAGGCATTGAAAGATTTAAGCAAGCAGACATCCTGGGAAAAATTAGTTTGGGTCACCAAGAGCAAGGAAATGGAACAGATGGGGTCAGAGTGGAATATCTGTTCTGTTTAAATGTTTATTTTTTTTCCCTGAGGCAGATGTATTACGCAGTTATAGTAACACACTGATTCTCAGGAACCATGTCTCAGCTCTAAACTGACTAACAGACTTGGCATCCATAAGAAGCTATTAAATGAACACGCTTGGCCGTGACTGAGAGCCCCGTTACCTGAAGAACAGGAGGGTCATTTCTCCAAAGCCTGGCCAGCCTGTGTAGTCCTGGGGAAGAGAAGCGGATCTCACAGAGCAATAAGACGAAGCTGCTACTTGACTGCACTGATCCCCAATGCTTCGCCAAGCTTGTGAAGCAGGAAAAAATGTCTTTTGAAGGATGTGAACTTTCCCTTTATGATCAGTGGTGGTGGAAAGATTAGGAATTTTTCAGCTCGCCAAAAGTGTTCACTTTGAATGGCAAAACATACCACCTTAGCCCAGAATAAGCTGTCATCCTGAGTCCTAGGAAACCCAAAAATAAACCTGCATGCCTCTTTTTTAAACCAAGATCTAATGTACATTTATTCTTAACACGCGAAACATATAAAGATTTCATACGTGATAAATGATATTCATTAAACCAAAACAGGAGGAAAAGGAGGAATTTATATCAAGTTTTAGGTACAGTGTTTTGAATACAAATAGGCAGATTTAATCACTGAAAAAAAATCTCAATTGTGTTTCTTCATCAGGAACTTTAACGGAACCTAGAACTTTTTCATGCCTCTTATTTCTGGCAAAATAAAATGGTTACAGAAATTTGTTTAACTGTACTTTAGAGAATGAATTAAATTTACACCATTACAAGTCTTCATGAGCATTTCATTAAAAGAATAGCAAAAGCTCATCACGTGCACAAACACACACAGCTGATAGCACCTTGCTCTTGCACATAATTGACTACCCTGGGGAATAACAGATGGGCTCACGTGGGAGGGGTATGTAAACTATTTATGAAAGACAAAGCAATTGATAGAGTTAACTCATAAAACAATTCCTTCTATCTGTGCAAAAATGAGAATATAGTTTACATACGAAAGTGTATTGGCAAAAGCTACAGAGGAAACCAAAAAAGAGAAGCATTAAAATGCAAGGTGCCGCTGACGCACTCACTCCAAGAGCTTCCTCGGGGGAGGGAGTTGCAGAGTCTCGTGTGTTCGGTGCTATTACACTTATAAGAAGACTCTAAAGTTACATTATTTTCCTCCAAAATCGTTTAGATATTCTGACATAGGGGATTCCCTTTACTGCTCTCATGAAGCAGGTAAATGACTCAAAGATATGCTGTGAACTTCCATCGTGATGTCCATGGAGTGGATAAGTGCAAGACCATGTTCAAGGAGAACCTGATGTTTCCTACATACAGGGTCAGTCGTTAAACAATCAGAATGCAAGCAGCAAGCCGGCTGTAGGTGCACACTTGACAGCGTTCCATCAAATTCCCCAATAGCCTGGGATGATCAGAGTGGGTTGTGATACAGTCTTAAGACGGCAGATAGAAAGGGTCTTAGCCTAGTGCAGGGTAGATAGAGAGAGGGCCTTAGCACACCAGTTCTCCCTGTCTTTCCCCCACGACACATCATTCTTCTCAATCTCTGAAAATGAAAAACCTCCGCAGAAGTAATAAAACTTGATCCTGGAGAAGATAAAGAGATTAGTCAAAATGTCAAAGGCAGCAGGCTTGCCACGGTGAGCTCACAACCTGAGCCAGTTCTCTCTGCAGGGATAGTTGATGGTCATTGCCACAACGTGCCATGAGTGGCGGAAAGCCCAGCTGACCCCAAACAAAGCTGCCCAAGAACCTCCCATTTGCAGAACAGTTTTTCAAGTTAAAAAAAACAAAAAACATTTCGTTTTCCTCTTGAAACTTCTACTTTCATAATGCAAACAGTTATATGGCTACGTATTTGCCTGTGCCTAGATTTTTCACAAAAACAAAGCCTTAACAAGTGAATAGCTAATAACTGCCTCTGGGAAGGCTAAGTGTCAGGAAAGAGGAAGACTGTCCCTTCCCAGCCTAGCTGGGCACCATGACACTACTGTCATTCAAAAGCATCAGCCTTTGGAATGTCTTCTTTTCTGAAGGTTGCCATGAAATTGAAATCTCAACCTCCAGCCCTCCCTAATGTTTTCAGAGTTCAAACCATTTCTTAGCGTGAAATTGAAAGATGATTTGTGGGATGATATCAAGGCTATCTCTAAACAGATGTCCCATCTTGTCGTGAAATGAGTATTTAATATAACTATCTTGAAGAAAATGGCGGTGAGCATTCAATTTTACACCTTGCATTTTAACCGGTTTATCAAAGTTAATATTAAAACCACACGTGACTTCTCTCAACAAGGATTGTGCTTCTAGTTGGGGTATGTTCTAGGAGGGAAACTAATATTAGGCAAAACGAATTTACAAAGTTTACCTGCCACCTTATTGAATCATGTATCATCTTCTAAAGCCAAGGTTCAAACAACTTTTTACAATGATGTTAACGTGTTTCTGAGATTGCCTGGGCTGTTGTCCATGTGGCCCACTCAGCTAACTGACTCTTTTGTCCTTGTGTGTTCCAGCCTCCGCCAGCACGTATGTCCCAACAGTATGCAACGGGCGGGAAGTCCTCGACTCCACCACCTCATCCCTGTGATTGTGAATGGCAGTTCAGTTATTGTGTGTTTAGACTGTTAGACAAACATCACGTGCAGCTCCAGAAAACGAAACAGAGCAAATGAACAACCCTGGTACCTTTTTTTAGAAACAGTAATAAATTATTTTTGAGGACTGTACAGTAGTGATATGCTAGGCATTTTTAGACTGATTTGAGTGCCCCTATTATTAACAATCCCCCAGTTACATGGAAATAACCATTGCTTACAGAGGTGAGCAGTGGTAACAGGGTCTGACAGGGTCAGGCTACTAAAAAATATGGTGGCAATATTAGGTAACTTTTTTCCTATAAAGTTTTTGTAGGTCCTTGTTGTAACTAATTTAGGATGCGTTTCTATATTGTATATTAAAGTTACTTTATGTGTAACAGATTGTTTTTCTCAGCCCAAAATTTAAAAAGCATCTGTATTAATATATTGACAATAAAACCTTCAAGGTTTTCTGGCATGGTGGATAATGGTTTGTTCTTTTTGAATCACTTAAGATAATTTTAATATGTTGACCTCAAATCATTTCTACTTTTCTACTTTTCATGTTGAAAGAAATGGTCTAACTTGGCTTCCCTTTGCAGCTACACATGTTTGAACACGATTTATTACCTTACCAGCAATCGACCCTTCCTTGCAGCTCACAATAGTCAAAGACTGGCTGGAACACCTGACAAGATTGAGCCATGTCAGATGACAACACAGGTCCTGGTTGTCCGACCTATGTCAAAGTAGCATGGCAGTCGGCATTTGCCAAAGTGGGGCTCTAAATGCAGAACCTACCCGGAAAGGTGGGATGGCTCTCAGTGCCCCAAAGAACCTGAATTAGTAGTTAGGACGCTGGAAATGTGTCTTTCCATCCCACTGGAAAATAAGACTCTCCATAGCTGATGAGGCAATAACAATGAAGAATCTTTGATTTTCCCATCCTTTCCAAAGTCCCAGGAGCGATGTGTGAGCACATGGGTTTGTCACTAAACTAGACTATTGTACTAACCGAAATAAAGGTGTGCACAAGAAAAGCATGTCTAATTATTTTCCTTGAAACTTTTGAGCCAAAAACCATTGATTCATGTAGTAAGCGTTTCTGAGACCCAACCTGCCAGGTCCTGTGCCAGGGCCCATGGAGAGAGGGGTTTCACTCCCCGTGGCCGCTGTAACAACTCACCACAAACTGGTTGGCTTGAAGGCACCATCCCTAAAGCTGCCTGTCCAAAATCAAACTATCAATGGGGCTGCACTCCCGACAGAAGCATGGATTCCCTACAGAATCTATTCCATCCCTCTTTGAGCTTCTCGATTGCCAGCTTCTTTGGCTTGGGACTAACTCACTCCAATCTCTGCCTCTATCTTCACGTCGGATTCTTCTCCACATCCGTTTTCTCCTCTGTGTGCCTCTTATTTGAACATAAAGTCCATCCTCACTGCCACTGAGTCAATGCTGACTCCTAGAGACCCCCTGTGGGCTGCAGAGACTGGAACTGTTCTAGGGAGTAGAAAGTCCAGTCTTTCGCTCGCAGAGCTGCTGGTGGTTTCGAACTGCCCACCAGGAGGACTGCAGCCCAATGTGTAACCACTACACCAACAGGGCTCCTTAGATCAATATAGACACCTTACTGAATTTAAGGTGCACCAAGATAATCCAAAGGCACCCTCGTGGCATATAGTGGGTTATGCATTGGGCTACTAACTGCAAGGTCTGTAGTTTGAAACCCAGCTGCTCCACAGGACAAAGATGAGGCTCCTCCAACCAAGAGTTACGGTCCTGGAAACCCCCATGAGCAGTTCTGTCCTATAGACTTGGTGCTACCGGCTTGCTCTGAGTGAGAATTCAGTCAAGGGCAGTGAGAGAAGGCAATCCCGGAGTTTGTCCTCATCTCTATAACCTTAACCCAATTACAGCTGCAAAGATCCTTTTCCCAAATAAAGTAACATTCAGAGATTCAAGGGAAAGGATTGGGCCTGTTCTGGAGGGGGCACTATTTAGCTCACTACCAAGAGAAAGATGAATATGATCTAGTCCTTCTGCTTTTGAGAATCAAAATTAGAAAAGAAGCCACAGGCTGCATTACCAAGGCCTAGATAATCAAGACATAGTGATAACCATTTTTAAAACATCCAAAAATAATGAACACGTCACTAAAAACCAACAGGACTGGCCTTGGAGGAAATAAAAGTGAGGAGTCAGGTGTTAGAAATTCTTCTCTTCATTCTCTAAGCACTTGCATCAGCAACCTAATCAATCACTCCCAAACCCACCAGATGCTCAAAGACAACGGTGCTCACCAGTCCTTGAAATCTCATATTCAAACAAGAACCTAGAATTTGCAGAGCAGGTGGGGTAGGTCGGGTAATAGATTCAACAGTGGTGGATGACAAAAAGGAATTCTGCTGTGACTGAAACTGGCAGGAATGCTAGCTAAGTGTGCTCCGAACGAGCATCTGCTCAGGATGAAGGCTGAGGCAAGGCTGGTATGAGAGAAAATAAACTCAGCCCACTGATGAAAAGTGACAGTCTGAGGAAGACAATATCAGATGGGTGGCTCAGAGACCCTGCTGATGCCTCCAACATTCAAACTGATCGTAGCTCTTGGAAAACAAGACACTTAAGCTTGTGTGTGACTCTTAAGAAAAGTGTCTTTGGAGAGCTGGATTTTGACCCGTGGCTATTATTTCATACCCTGCTAGTACTCTGAAAAATGCACAAACTGGCAGTTTTTGTCATCTTCTTCTTCCTGGCCATAAGCTTTGTTGTCGATTTGAAAGTGCATCATCTAGCATGTAACCCCTGGAGAAATCTTAAAAATAAAACAAACTATGTATGCAAAATAACAGCTATAACATCTTTTACATAAGCCAGTTCAAAACTGGTTTTTCTACAATAACATTTCATCCTTTCTCAGTGTAACTAGGTGAGCCTATCCATCTTTGCAAGAGAATTATAGAAACTAAGGGGCCCAATCCGAATGACATACAAAAAATACACCAGAACCTAATAATATGCCTATCATTGACGTTTGTTTGTATGTCTATGGCACCTGAAGTGCTTCTGCTCGTCTTTAGTTTAACTATTAATAGACTCTCTTACTCAAGTTTATTGTGGTAAAATAAAATGGTCCCATATTCCTGCTGTGAGACAAATTGGCTAGTGGGCCATGCAAAGCCAAAGTAGGGTAGTAATTCAGTCAGTGTATTTTCACAGTCTTCAGCTTCCGACTTCTCTCAGCCTTACGTGCCCAACCTGAGAGCTCTGGGCCCCAGAGTTCTCCAGCACAGGGCTGTAAACCTGGGCAAGCCAAGTAAAGTGCACAGATAGATGTGTAGATTGTAACCTCCTCTGCTCTGGCGACTAAGGTCCGACCAATAAATATCACAATCATCACGCCTACCTCGTAACAGGTTTGTTGTCCAGCTGTTTCTGACTCCCAGCGACCCTGTCTACGAGAGCAGGAAACGCAGCCCAGTCCTGCACCAGCTTCACAAGTGTTCCTCGGTCTGAGTCCTTTATTCAAGCCACCGTGTCAGTGCATCTTGTTGAGAGAGTTTCTCTGTTTTTGACCCTCTTTTACCAAGAGTGACACCTTTCTCCAGGAACTGGTCCCTCTTGGTAACATGTTCAAGACCCGTAGACATAATTATTATCGCCGCCCTTGCCTCCCAGTTTCTCTTCTGGGAGTCCATGGTAACTTCTATACTTTGCCAATATCACAATTCAAATGCATCCACTTTTCTGGTCTTCCTTATTCATTGTCCAGATTTTTCATGTATAAGAGACCATGGAAAAATGCCATCTTTGGGGTCAGGTGCATCTTAGTACCCCAAGTGGTAGCTTTGCTTTTTAAATTCTAAAGCTTTTTTACAGCAGAATTATCAATAAACCCTTTGATTTCATGACTATTGCTTCCATGGGTGTTGATTATGGATCCAAGTAAAATTAAATCCTTGGCGATCTTAATCTTTTCCTCATTCATGCTAATGTTGCTTATGGATGCAGTTATGAAGACGTGGTTTCGTGCCCTGGTGTAATACACACTGAAGGCTGTATTCTTTTATCCTCATCAGTAAAGGCGTCAAGTTCTCTTCATTCTCAGCAAGCAAGTTTGTGCCATCTGCATGGGGAAGGTTGTTACCGGGGCTTGCTGCTGCTCCATCCTGATGATGCCGCTTCGTGTAGACTGCTGCTATTTGTTCAGCAGGACTGAAGGACGATGGCGAAAAGATACAACCCTGATGAGCACCTTTCCTGGTTTTAAACCATGCAGTGACCCCTTGTTTTGTCCCAAGTACTGCTTCTTGGACTAGGGACTGGTTCCACAAGAGCACAATAAAGTGTTCTGGAACTCCATTCTTTGCAACGTTATCCATAATTTTTATGAGTCGAATGCCTTTGCATAGTCAACAAAACACAGGTGATATTTAGCGATATGCTTTGCTTTCAAACAAGATATATCTAATATCAGCAATGCTATTCCCTTGTTCCATTTCCTCTTCTCAATCTAGCTTGAATTCTTGGCAGTTCCCTGCCTATCTATTCCTGCAACCATTGAATCATCAGCAAAATTTTGTGAGATGAATGATATTATTCAATATTTCCATTCTTTTCAATCCCTTTCCTTTGGAATAATTGCCCATATAGGTTTCTCTCTTCTAGTCAGTGGGCCAATTTTCTTGGCATAGATGACTGAACACTTCCAGCATGGATACATTTGTTGAAAATGATTTTTGCCAAAACTTCCAGCGCACCTTGTACTTCTTTAGTACCATGGGCTAAAGCTCCTGGGATGGTTGAATGGCAACCAGTTCTGGTACCAAATCCAAAAACTACACACACTTCCAGCAAATTTACTCCTTTCAAATTTATTCCTCCCATTTTCTTTTTAGGCTTTCTGTCTCATTCAATATTCTGCCCATCGAATCCCTCAATAGTGCAACATCAAGCCTGATGTTTTTCTTCATTTGGTTCTAGAAATGCTGGATGGGCTCTTCTCGTTAGGCTTTTTAACTGTAGATATAATTCTGGATCTTCCTAATTCTACATTATAATACTTTGTCTTCTTGAGCTGCCTTTTGAAGCCTTCTGGTCAGTTCTTTTATGTGATTTCTTCTTTTCAGTTTAGTGGATTCAGAAGAAAAATCCAGAATCTCTTATGTTTTAGAAACTCTAATGATGCAGTATATTAAACTACTAATCAAAAGTCAGTGGTTCAGATCTACCAACTGCTTCACATGAAGAAACCTTTGGGAGCACATCTAGTCTGCTCTATAAGATCACTGTGAGTCAGGAGCAACTGAAAGGCAATAGTGAATGAGTGATATTTTGGTCTTTCCTTTTATTTAACTTATGATTTCATTTTTTTTCAAACCATTTTATTGGAGCTAATACAGATAGTATATCATTCCATAGTTCAATCAAATCAAGCAGTGTTGTGTAATTGCTACCACAATCAGTTTCAAAACAGT